GATCCAATTTTTTTTCATGTATATACATTAACTTCTAAGGTTTTATTTAAAGTTTTTTTTGAAACTATTTATTAATTTGCTTTTAAATATAGTTTTTTTTTATTGATTTTATCTTTTGAGAATCATTGTGGTGTTGAACAGTAAGATAAAATTGCATTTTACTGTTAGAGTATTTTTAAGGAAAAGTTTTTTATGGTTTCTAATTAACATAAGAGTTTAATTGATTATCCTTCACCCAATTAATTAAATTTTAAAATAATTTTAAAGTTTAAAGGAAATATAAATAATTTGAAATTCGATAAAGTTTACATTTTTTTTTTTTTCTTTTAATTTAGTTTATCTAATTAAAAGAAAAAATTTTTAAAAAAGGAAAAAATAAATTCTTAAAATTAACAAAAATAAAAAATTTAAAACAATGAAAATATATTGATAAATGCAATAAATATATAACAAAGTAAAAAATATTCAAAATAGTCACTAAAATAATTCGAAAAAGAAATCGAAATTAAATCTTGTTCTTATATAATAAAAACTTCATTAGAAAATAATAACAATATGACTATTACTGATTTTTCTAATTTTCCAAAGGTCATTTATTATAAAAACGAACAAACAATAAAGGCTTATGGAGATAATGAATAAATAAATACGTCTTATTTTAGTTAGGAAGATCAAAAATATAATAAAAATACTCTCAAAAATAAAAAAATATAGAAAAAAAATAGGACAAAACCGTCTAATAATCAATAAAAATGTTAAAATGTACCTCTATGTTTAGAATTAATTTAAAAATAAATTAAAAATAATTTGTTTGTTGGAACATAAGTTCTTTAAAAGAAGGGAAAATAAATATACTAAGACTTTCCCAATGAACTATTATAAATATCCACTTAATAATTCCTAAGAATATACCCATTAGGAATTCGAATAGATTCATCAAATTATTACAGTTTAAAATCTTTTATATTAGGATGTTAGATGGCGGCTTTAAATTTTCAAAAAAAAAAGATGAAAATCTACTCCTATATATTTCCAAATTTCAAGAAAACGAAGGAGTGAAATCTGGTTATATTCTAAAGCCAAAATTTATGTAAAAAAAATATTTTTCAATGTAGTCTCATTTAGATTTTTAATCAATTAAAAAAAAAAATCACATTAAAGTTATTAGTGGGTATTAATTAAGACCCGAAAATTACAAAAATGATCATTTTGATGTTGTAGATTCTTTTGTGTAAATTTTTATTAAAGGAAATGATTTTGATGAAAGTAAAAATTAAAATTTCTAAATTAAAGTTGTCAAAGATAATAGATTTCATCCAATTTGGAATTCTTAAGTTTTTAAGTTTTAATTTACGTGTCCAGAATTGGCTATATTAGTGTTTAAAGTTTTAGATAAGGATATTATTTTGGATACCTGGTTGGGAATATATGGATTACCTGTAAATTGCTTGAAGAGTGGGTTTAGAGTTGTTCCGTTAAGGTTTTAGTCCAATTTAGATATTATTTAGCATAGTTATATTTTAGTGAATATTTAAATTTAAGATTTTAGTCTTTATATATATATATATATATATATATATATATATATATATATATATATTTTAATATTTATTTTCTTTTTTTAAAATATTATAATAAATAATTATATGGATAATATTTTTTTTGTTTATATATTTTTCCCAAATGAAATTATTAATGATATTAATTTTATATTTTTAAATAAAAATTTAAATATAAAAATATTTTTTTTTTTTAATGGATAAATGAAAATTATTTAAAAAAAAAAAAAATTGCTAAAAAAAATTTATATTCCAATAAAATATTTTTAACTTTATTGAAAAAAAATAAAATAAAATAATTTAAATTTTTATTTATCATATATAATAATAAAAAATAATATATATTAAAAATATAATTGATTATAATTAAATATATACTATTTTTATTTTTATTTTTTATTTTTTTATTTTTTTTAAAAAAAAAACTAAAAAAATATTTAAATTTTTTTTTTCTATTATTTTTAATATAAATAATTAATAAGAAATAATAAAAAACAAATTGAAAATGTAAAATCCTATAAATAAAAACATTAATTTATAATCATAAAATATACTTTTTGATTTATTATCTATTTTTATGGAAATATCAAAAAAAGGGCATAAAACACCTGAAAAAATCTAAAAATAATGGTCAAATTTTAAAGAATTATTGAATATAAATCCATTAGATTATTAATAAATTTTCGCTTTTATTTCATAAATTAACGAACATACTGAAGATCAACAAGAAAAAATGGAAGAAAATTCTTCACAAAATAAAAAAAATTAAGAAGATATAGATTTATAATAATAATAATAACCAAAAACACGTGTAAATAATTTCGTAAAGAATTTTAATTCTTAATATAGTAATAATAACAATAATAATAATAATAATAATAATAATAATAATAATAATAATAATAATATCAATAATAATAATAATGCTAATAATTCCTATAATAATAATAATTAAAATATTTTAAAAAATATTAAAACTACAAGCAATGAAGGCAATACAATGAATATGTATAAAACTATTTCAAGCGAATGCTATTAATAAAGCACTTTATGCTAAAAAAGAAATATCGGAGGTCCTCATATAATCCGATCATAAACACGGGAAATTGAAAGTAGAAAAAAAAACAGCAACAATGAAATTGAAAAAAAATAATAATATATATTTAGTAAAATTTATATTATTATATAATTTTCAGATTTCATAAAATCAAATACAAGAATTTCTTCTCTGGGAAAAAACTTGCAATTTTCACAAAGTTCCATTTTGGAATTATCCAAAAATTAAAATTCTTTATATAAATTTATTTCATTATCCCTTTTTGTTAATTTATTATAAGAAATTGGACATCTATAAAGCAAATTTACATTCTTTGATATTTTTTAAAAAGTCTATATGAAGAAATACAAATTTTAAAATGAATAAATGTACTTATCTTTTATAAATAATATAGGATTTTAATATAATAACATGCCTATTTAATTAAAGAAAAATCCTTACTTTCTTAAAAATTGATTAGAATTTTCCTTTATTAAATTCACCAAGATGCCTTACTTTTGGATTGTTTAGTTGTTTTATTGATAGAAATTACATGTGAATTCATATTAGAATGTGAATTTGAGATTATATATAATATAGTGAATAGTTTATTGTAAAATAACGGGAAACTAAGTGAAAGGGAAAAAAGAATAAAATTAATATAAAATATAAAAATTATTAATTGTAAAGATTTCAAACACGAAATATTATTTTTGTTTTCTTTGGCTTTATAAAGGCCTATTGAATTATATAATTTTAAGGATAATAAACTTGAATAGACTTTATTTAAAAGCAAAAAAATCTAGTTGAGTGAGTTTTTAAATAAAATCAATATCGTAACTGTAAATATGAATGATGTTTATTATCTTTTAATTATGAAATAGTAAGAAACTGAACTTTATAAAGTTAACTTTCAAAAAAATGAGTATTTGATGAATTTCTAAGATATTAATTTTGGACTTTTAATTAAATATATATAGAATTTTTAAAAGTCAAATACAAAATTTTAATAATAATTGTATTCTTCTATTAATAATAGTTAAGAAGATTAAGGAAGAAAATCTTAAGGGATTAAAATAATTTAATTAATGTAAATATGGAAAGTCCAAGAATGTAAAATTTAATTATAAATTAAGAAAGTTCCAAAAACTTGTCTAATTTTAATAGAGAAAATAAAACTTTAAATAATGTAGAAAGTGTTAAAAATATATCATAAAAAATATAATAAGAAGTATATATATATATATTTTTTTTAATAAATATATTTAAAATAATTGTTTTAAAAAAAATTTTGTATAAAAATATATAGGAAGAATTTAATAGAGAATTATTATTAAACAAAAGTAAAGAAATGATATTTATTTTAAATAATGATTTAGAAAAATTAAATGCATATGCAAAAATAATATAAGAAAATAATAATAATAAAAATCATAATATTAATAATTATTTTAATAATAATATACAAACTAGTCCTTTGAAAAATAAGTAATTAATATATCCATTATAAAATACATTATCAGATATTAGTAATACATTATCAACTTTAAGTACAAATAAATCATAAGGTCTATATAATAATATAAATTCAGGAAATATTAATAGTGGAATTGGTAATATTTCTATAGCAAATAACTTCATAAATAATAATAATTGTGCTTATTAAAATAGTTTAAAAAGTAAAGCTTCAGCATCACCAAGTTAAGTACTAACAAATAGTAAAATTAGTAATAATTTTACAAGTAGTATGGATAAAACTTAAAAGAATAATATTTAAAACATTATTTAGTAAAATAATATAATGCAAAATAATATTAATAATAATTTTTAAGTTAATAATGTGCAAACTAATAGTAACTTTATTTAATTAAATAATTAAATAATGAATTAAAAAAATCATATTAATAATTATTTTTAAGAATTATATAAAAATTCTCCGAAAAAATATATTAATTAATAAAATTGATAAGAAACATTTTTTTTTTTATGAAATCTTTAATTATATTTTTTTTTTTTTTTTTAAAAAAAAAAAATATAAATAAAAAAATATTATTAGTTATTTTATTTTCTTTTATATAAATAAGATAAATATATATATATATTAAATATATAAATTTATATATATAATTTATTAATTTTTATTATTAATTATTTTTTATAAGTAAAAATTAAATTTATATAATTTTATTTTTAATTTTATTAATAATCATTTATTTATTTTTTTGTATGTTTTTATTTTTAATTTTATATCAAAAATAAAAAACAAAAAAAATGTATAAACTATTTTATATTCAATATATTTTATTAAAAAAATTTCTAATAAAAAAATAAAAATAAAATAAATTTATTAAAAAAAAAATAATAACAAAATAAAATAATTTAAAAAAAGTTAATATATAATAAAAATGAAATATCTAATTGTTGTTTTACTATCTTTTATAATTTATACATTATAAGAATTAAAACTATTTAATACCCCTTAACTTATTGAAAAAATTAAATAACTAAATCAAGATAATGAATCTATTCCATACTAAATAGCTAATTTTGGCTCGATACCTTATGGACGTAAAATAATAGGCGAGTTAAAACTTTCTTAACCTTTTGATGGTTGTGATGGAGTTGAAAAAAAATCTACATTCATTTTAATAGATCGTGGAAATTGTACATTTGTACAAAAAGTATATAATTCATAAATATCTGGAAATAAAGTTGCAATAATTGTAATTCATAAAACCATATAAAAATATAAAAATATAAATATAAATATATATATATATATATAAAATTTACATTTATATTTATTTATATAAATATATATATATATATAAATATATTTATTTGTATATATTATTAAATTAGATGGATGATAAATAAAGAAATTAAGATATTTAAATGATAGATGATGGATTTGGATAGAGAGTTAAAATTCCGTCAATTTTTATTTAAAATAAATATGGTGAAATATTTAAAGATTATCTTTAAAAAAACTAAGGTTACATATAATTGGTCTTAGAATTTTAAGAGAATAAATACACTAAAACATTATTTAAATTTTTTATTAATATTCCGTCAAAGGAATCAAATAAACTAATTTATGAATTTAATTAAGTTCGTAATAAACTGACTGGAAATGAAGGTAATTAAAAATAATAAAATATAAAAATATAAATTATTAACAATTTAAATAATAAAAAAAAAAATTAAAATAATTTATAAATCATATATATATAAATTTAATTATTGTTATATAAATATATATATTTGTATTTTTATATATATAAATATAATTATTTTTTAAATATATATATTAGTTGTTTTTGAACCTATATATGATATTTATTAGTGTAATTCCTGCAAAAAGTAAGATTTTACAAATGAAGTACCTGATTGTATTCTTAATGGACGTTATTGTACTAATGATCCTGATATTTATAATAATAGTTATGATTTATCCTCATAATTTCTATATAATGGAAAAGATTTAGTTGAAGAAATTGTAAGATAATTATGTTTATACAATTAAAAAGAAGACTTATGGTGGTAATATAATATTATTTTTAGCCAAGATTGTGATCAACCTTAATTGTATAAGGAATGTAGTTAGAAAATAGTCAAATAAATTTAAGCTGATGAAAATTTACTTTAACAGTGCTTTTAGAATAATACATAAAAAAAGGAATCACCAATTTTATAGAGATAAATAGATATCTTATAATAAGTAAAAATCTTCATATGGCCATCTGTTATTATTAATGATTTAATCTATAGGGGTAATTTGGATGGAGAAGATATTTTAGAAGCTATATGTGCATCTTTTGAGGAGGCTAAAGGAGAATGTAGGTATGTATTGGATCCTACTTTGGAAGAAAAGGTAGTTACAACTTCGAATTTGTGGATTATTATATGCTATATTTGTGCTGGATTCGTTGTTTTATTTTTGATTTCAGTATTTTTATATAAGAAGGTAGTTTAAAAGGAATTAAGATAGGGAATGAGTTAATAGGTTAGTTAAATGGTTAGTAAATATATTGCATTTTATGAATAGAAAGGAAAGAAAATATAAGATGATGACTATTGATAGTTTTTTTTTTTTTTTTTTTTTGTTAAAAAAAATAAAAATATTATAATTTTTAGTTTTTATATATAATTATATAATATCTTTTATTTTTGTTTTTTTATTATTTATTAATATAAATTAAAAATTTGTGAATTCATTTTCATAAATTAGATTTATTGATTTTTATTTATTATTTTTTAATTAGATAAATCGTTAAATAATTTTTTATACTTATCTAATTTTGTTAATTTTTGAAATAAATCATAATATATATATTTTTTTTTAATTAAAATTTAATATAAATAAATATATATAATATTTATTTTATATAATTTATATATAAATATATATATATATTTTTAAATCATTATATTTTATTTATATTTATTTTAAAATTATAATTTAATTTTAATGAAAGTATTCATTTATAAAATATCAATATAAAATTAATATTTTATTTAAAAATAAAAAAAATTCAAAAAAAAAAAAAAAAAAAATCTTTCAATTAATTTTTTTTAAAAAATATAAATGTATTACAAATGTAAATACATTTAATAAAATAATATAAAATATATATGTATTTTAAAACTCTATTAAATATACATATATATATATACATATATATAAAAAAAAAAATATCTTTTATTATAATCAAATATTTCATTATATTAAAATTTAATTGTTTTAATCTTAATCATTATTCTTTAATTTTTTCTAAATAAAATCCTCATTTTCATTAACTTTGTATACATTTTTACATATATCACACTTACAAAGTTAATTACAACTCACCCCTGACTAAAAACAAATGCAATATTTTTTCTAACAATTCGATTTTTTACAATTACAGCCTTGTTTCATTATATTCTCCTCTTTATTTTCACTTAACGGGTCTAATAGTTTCGAATTAAAGGCCTAAGGGTTTTTAATAAGTATATGTTCAATAGCATCATTTCTTAGATCAAGAAATTTGTCGTTATTGCAACATTCTACACATTTGCAATCTGTACTACATAATTCTCCACAGGCAAAACAGTCGCAATATAATTTTAAGCATTAAGATTTTTTACAATTACATAATATTTATTTTTTAGTAGATTAATTCAATATATTTTCCAAGTCAATTGTATTATTTGTAGTGGATAGATTATCTTTTTGATTAATATTAGAATATTGCTTTATTATTTATTTTTCGAGATGAAGATATTATTATTGGTGTTTATATTATTTGGAGTTAATTTTGTTGTAGTATTTTATTAGATTCGAAGGTAATTAAATTATACTTTGTTTAAATATTACACTTAAAAGATTTTGGTTTTATGTATTATTTGATAGTTAGTTATAATTGTATTGGTCTATCATTTATTAGATTAAAAATAAATTGTTCATAATTTTATTTAAGTATTTTATTTTTGGGTTTATTATTTATTTGTTTTTTTTTAACGATTATTTTTAAATTATATTATAAATTATTATATTTTATTTTATATATTTTTTTTTATAAAAAAAAAATTAAATTTTATTTTAAAAATAATATAAATAAAAATAATAATTTTTAAATAATAATAATAAATTTGAATATTCTATAAAATAAAAAAAAATATAAATGAACTAATAATAAATAATAATATTATATATATATATAAAATAAATTATATATATATATATATTATATATATATATATATATATATTTATTATATCTATTATAATATTTTTATATAATTATCTATATTTTATTATATATATGATATTATTTATTATTATTAAGTATATATTTACAAAAAAATTTTTTAATATTTATTATTTTTTATTTTTTTTACTTGTTATTATTTTTTTATATGAATATTTATTACTAAAACACAGTTTCTTTAAATTTATTTACTTTTTTTTATTTAGCTTTTTAAAATTATAAATATATTATATATTTACTAAAATAAAATATTTTTTATAATTAATTTGTTCTAAATATGAATAAGGAAAAAATCTAATAAATATATAATAAATTTATTGATTAAAATATTTTAAATGAAAATATAGGCAATAATATAAAATTGATATTATAATAATTGCTTTTATAAAATAATCTTAACGTTAAAATATATCATGATTAATTATTCTATACAGTTTTTTATGATTATTTAAAACAAATGAATCCTTCTTAAAATTAGGATAAAGAATATTTAATAAAGCAATTTTTAGATTAATTAAGTTAAAGTTAATTAATAAATAATAGTCAATATAAAAAAATTAATAATTAATTATTTATATTAAGTAAATTAAGAGATATTTATTTTGATAGTGAGTTATAAATATATAATTCACAAGAAATATAAAAAATACATATATATTTTACTGAATTAGATATGTAAATAGAACCAGAAAATAAAAAAAGACTTTTTCTATTATATTAAGAATAATTAAATGATAAAAATAAAATAAAAAATGAATAAATAAATAATATTCCACAAATAGATTAAATATAAAAAATAGGTTTATAAAATAAAATAAAAAATATAAAATAATATTTTTTTAAAAAAATATAAAAAGATATAAATTATATTAATAATAATTATTAATAATAAATAGTAAATAATAAATAAATATAATTAATAAATAATATGAATAATAACGACACTAATAATGATAATAATAATAATTTAAATTTCTAATAATTATCCTAACTTTTTGATTAAAATAATACTTTTATAAATCATATAAATCCTAATGGTTTACATTAATTACATCAATAAATTAATATATTAGATTTTAGTAATATTTTTAAATCGAATAAATAAAATAATGAAGACTAAAATAATCATTTGTACTAAAATTATGAGCCTATATATGATGAAGAAGCCAAAGAATAATATTTAAATTAATTATATATGGAAAACAAAATATCGAATGAAGAAAAAAATTCATTAATTCAAGAAGTAGAAAACTTAAAGAAAATAATTAAAAAAATAGGTATAAAAGATCGCTTTAAAGAAATCTAAATATTAAAAATTCAGCCTTTCGGTTCTGTAGTTTCTGGCTTTGGGACTAAAAATAGTGATATAGATATTTCTATTAACACAAATTGCTATATAGATGAGCGTAAATTATTATAATTAATATAAATTTTGCTAAAAGTATATAAAAGAAAACATTAAATAAATGATATGAAGCTTGTTTTAGTCTTAAATACCCGTATTCCAATACTTAAGTATGAAAATAATAAAAGGAAAGTAGATATAAGTGTAAATAATGTTTTAGGTTGTATAAATTCTCTGATGTTGCAAAGAATTTGCTCTATAGATGAGAAGATTTAAAAATTAGGAATTTTAGTTAAAATTTGGGCTAAAAAATAGTAAATTTTAGGTTAAGAATATTTAAATTCTTATGCTTTTATAATTTTAGTTTGTAGTTTTTTTTTAATAAAAATAATAATTTTTTATAAGAGTTTTTTTGGAAAAAAAATGAAGAATATTTAAAAATAAAAAGAATAATTAAAAAATTTGATGATGAAACTATAAATGATATTTTCTAAACTAACATTTTTTTTGAAAATAAAGATGATTTTTAAGAAAAAAAAAATATTTTTGGGCAAATAGTAGTATATAAGAATTGTTTTATTAATTCTTAGAATAATATAAAGATGGAGGGTAGGTTAGTATAAATAGAGAAGGTAAATTTGAGATTGATGAAGTTCTTTTTTTAAAAGATTGTTTCTTTAATATATAAGATCCGATTGATATTAAACATAATCCAGGAAGAATTAGTTTAAAATAAAAAGTTAAGGAAAGATTGAAATATGCTTTTTAAAGATCTATTGAATTATGGAATAATGCAATGATTAAATAATTATTTGTTTGATTTTTTTTATATATGATTTATTTTATTATTATATAAAAATATATTATTGTTGTTATTTTTTTTATTTTGTAATTTAAAATATTTAATAAATAATTTTTTTTTTATTTATTTATAAAATATAATTAAATTTAAAAAAGAAAAAAAAATTATAAAATGATTTGCAATTAAAAAAAACTATATGAAGAATATAATTATGAAATTAAAAAGATATTCTAGATATTAAATTTGTAATAAATATAAAAAGAAAAGTAAGAAAATAATGAATAAAAAAAAGTCGAAGAATAAATATAATTATTAAAAAATAAATAATTTATATAAAATGAAAAATTATAATGTTAATAAATATAATATACATATGAAATGTAAAAAATAGGAAAAAAAACAGGAAAAATATTAAAAAGAACATTAATTATAGAAAAAGAATAAATATATTAAATAAAAAATGAAAAATCTAAAAAAGAAATAAAGAGATAACTAGAATTTCCAAAAAAATATTAAATATAAACAATTGTAAAATAAAAAAAAATATATACATAATTATAATTATAATTATAATTATAATTATAATTATAATTATATATTATATTATATTATATATATTATATATATATTATATATTTATTATATTTATTATTTTTATATTTTATATCTTCTATATATATATATTGTTAACTTAAAGGAAACATTTAATAATTTAAATACTTAATAAAAAAAGCTATAAATGATTTGGATTGATAAAATTAAAAATTATAGAATTCTAATATATTAAAATATCAGACCATTAGTTATTTCTATATATTTCTCAAATTTTAAAGAAGCTTCATTTATTTTTAATTATTTTTAAATTATGAATAACAAAGATTCATTTATTAATAATTTCAAAAAAATAATTAATATATATAAATAGACTATATCTTAAAAAGTATTATAAATAAAAATGTATATATTATATAAATATATATTTATTTAAATTATATATATATATATATATATATATATATTAATTTTTAGTTCAAATATATATTAGAATAACAATAATCTAAATTTTTATAATATAGAAAACATTAAATTATTATTAATTCTATTATTTTAAAAAAATTTGACTAAATAATAAACCATAATTTTTTACCTTTTTTAAAGAAATTTCTTTTTAATAATAAAAAT